GGGCAGAAAAAAATCCTAGGCTGAGGATCTCAAGAGAGGAATTCTGGTTTCTCAACCTTTGTATGACTTGGGGCAAATCAGTTACTGCCTTTGCACCTTTGTTTTTTCATTTTTAATTATGATAACAACTCCTACCTGGCTGACCTCAGACCTTATGAGACTCAATAAACTGTAGAGTCCTGTGCAAACATAAGGCATTATTTATTATTCTGTAGCTACTAATGGATCTGAGGAAAGAAATCAAATTCTGACTTGCATCATGTCAGTTGCACAGTGGCAGTCACCTCCTGTTTGGGTTTCTAGCTTCCGTCTTTAAGTTTTCCACATTATCTTCCACTACCTGGCTGGGTTTTGTTTTTTTTTTAACAGCATTATTGAGGTATAATTGAATACCATAAAATCCAACCATTTTTAAGTGTTCTGTGTGTTTTTACAAATTTATATCACTGTGCAGCCATCACCAAAATTTAGGGTTTTTTTTTGTCAATTTTATATCTCAGATTTATTTTGCATACAATTACTTAAGTTTATTTTATGTATTTATTTTAAATATTTTTTATTGAAATATAGTCAGTTTATAATGTGTCAATTTCTGGTGTACAGCACAATGCTTCAGCCATATAGGAACATACGTATATGTGCTTTCATATTCTTTTTCACCATAAGTTACTATAAGATACTGAATTTAGTTCCCTGTGCTATACCACAATTTAGTTTTAACATGTTTGTTAACATACACTTTAAAGAGGAAAAACTTCGGTATCTATAAACTTAAAAAAAAAATCTTAGAAAAAAATTCTTTCAATCCTGACAAATTGAAATGTATCCTTGAAGGAATTATTTTCCAGTAATGCCTGGGTGGAATCGGACCCTGCCAGTTTACTTTTGAGCTTGTTTTATATTCTCGGTCTACCTGATATTGGCCTTTGTTTTCAAAGATAAAAAAGGAGAGGGTGTGTGCACCCAGTGCGTGCATGGAAAACGACCAACCGGCAACAGCTTGTCCTCCACGCCGTCCACACGAAGCCACCCCTATGGTGCCTTTGCTTCTTGGAATCTATTCTTTGTATTTTTAAAAGTTTGTATGATGTACATTGAATATTTTTATTATTTTTGTGCAGTCCCATGGCATTAAGTCCATTCACGTTGTTGTGCAGTGATCACCACCATCCATCTCCAGGACGTTATCATCTTCCCAAACTGAAATGCTGTACCCCTTAAACACTAACTCCCCCTCCCTTGTGCCCCCCCCCCGGGTCCTGACAGCCATGACTGTACTGTATCTGTCTCTGTGAATTTGACTACTCTAGGTCCCTCATTTTAGAGGCATCATACAAGATTTGTTCTTTGTGTCTAGCTTAGCGTGATACCTTCAAGTTGCATCCACTCTGTAGCATGTGTCAGAATTTCCTCACGTTGGCTTTTTCCATTTGTTGATGGACACAGGTTGTTTGTACGTTCTCTGGCCTCTATTCTTTTATATGTATATGTATTTTTAAAATATTCTTTTTCTGGGGGGGGATAATTAGATTTATTTATGTATTTATTTAAATGGAGATACTGGGGATTGAATCCAGGACCTCATGCATGCTAGGCATGCACTCTCCCACTGAGCTGTACCCTCCTTCCCCCCGGACTCTGTTCTCCATCCCAGTAACTTCCCCACTTGGCCCAGGCTGGGCTGGGCACTGCTAAATGCAGCTCTTGAATACACTCTAGCTGTGCCTGGATGTTTTGTCTTTCTTTTTTCCTAAACCCGGTTTTTGGATGCTCTGTATTTCAGCTAGCCAGCTCAACAGCACCCACAGTGTCAGGATTCCCTGCTGGTAGCAACACTGGCCCCACCAGCATTCAGCTTTTTGATGCCGAGCAGGAGTCACCTGCTCTAGGCTACAAGACCTGTTACCTCTTCTATTTAAATGCTTATGTTTATATTTCACTCATATCAACCTTTTTTTTACTCACTTCAGTAGTTCAGTTTCTCTCTAATCTGTCACATCCTCAGTCTAAGTCACTGTGGGCATTTTAATGTCTGGGGGGGACTTTCTGTGCACAGCACAGATCACTTACAGGTATTTAGGTCTTAAGTGAGTGTTCGGTATACCAGAGATACAATTCAAAAAAATGTCAAATTTTCCTTTACTAGAGGTACAGATCAGAAAATCAAAATATCCTTACGTTTTTAGATTCATCGTATTCTTGTTGTAAATTTGGTATTTTAAAAATACTAAAATAAAAATTGTAACTCTCAGGGGGCCTTTGAAAAATACTTGATCAACTCACAACGAAGACTGAAGCCCCTTTACTCAGTAATTGGCCCCGTTTAGAAGCAGTTATGGAAGACTTCAAACCAAATCTGTCAGGGCACTTAATCAGGCTTCATTACTCATCGCATCCGTGCCAGTTATTGCTAGCCACCGGAGACACAACTCTGAACAGAGCAGAACAGTGAATAACAGTGAATAAAACAGAAAATACCCGTTGCCCTCATGGAGTTTACATACTTATGACACTTAAATCACTCAACTCTTGTAAGTCTGATAAACCAAAGTTTTAAATGAGGAACATGTCAAAGTTAAAATTCTTCTACCTTTCAACTTAAAATTACAGGTCTAAAATCAATTACAGCTCATCTACCAGGAACTACCAGATTCCACTGATAACGTGGGTATTTTTCAATAGTAAATACTACGCACTTCACGGTCTGTCTGTGATTGGTCGAATCCCAGGAACCATGGATGGGAGGGCCACTATAAGTTATAGTAGAATTAACCTAGTTGTTTCAGGCTCAACTGTATACATATGAATTAGAATCACAGAGCAGATATGCATCTAATTAGTGTCTCTGATTTATTGAATATGTAAATACCAAATGTATAAATTATTCTTAAGCCCGATGAAAAAAATAGGAATACCGTGAAAGTGATTTGCTGTATCGTTTCTCTATTTAATTCTAAACTTTCCTAGTATTGACAACTGGGATTACACAACTGAGCTTACTTGATGGATAGCTCACGACCCAGATACTTGATTGTCTCAGATAGGCTGAGAGATTGGAAACTATGACTAGGTACCTAGGGTTGAGTGTGACCAGAGTGAATCTTCCCATAGGACAGATGGACACACTGAGTCTGATTTTAACGGTGGCTGTGATGACAGGGGAGTCCACGTCTATTTACTTTACATAGGATTGGTTTCACAATGTTGTTTGCTAGATTCAAGTCTTACCTTCATAACTTCTTCTGATGTTGCCATCTAATTTGGATTGATAAATTACTTAAGTGCCCCTCCCTCTCCTACTTTACTATCTGATTTGGTTCAGCTAACCCAGCCTGTTTTCTGCCTGATTCTTCTGTGTCTGGTTGTTTGGCTTTGGCTGTAAGAACATTCTGTTGTGTATGGACACTGGATGATATCATTGCTCTGCAAAGGGTCACATTCAGAGGTGGCAGACTGGAGCTGGAGCTCTCCTTCCAAAATATCCATCAATCCACCCCCATTCCTTCACATGAGCAATGAATATTTTCTCTGTTTTAATGTCAAGTGTGATTCAAACTTACTCTCCAGATAATTCCTGGCTGACCCCTCCTCCTAAACAGATTCCCTCTTCTAAGCCCCTTTTATACAGAAATTTTAAAATTATTATTGTTTCTTTGCTTAAAACCCTTCAGTGTTCACATGATATAGTAGAATTCAAAATTCTTAACATGGCATGCAAGTCCCTGCATGATCTGCCTCTTGGCTTCCTTCATGACTTCATCACATGCATCCTCTTATGCTCCAGTTCCAGCTATACTAGCCTTCTTTCACTCCTTCCAACAGAAGCCAAGATTCTTTCCTACCTCAGGGCCTTTGCATGTACTGTTCCCACTTTCAGAAACATCTTTCCCCCTCTTTCTTTGCTTGGATGATGCCACATCCTGTGGGTGTCAGAGTAACTCATTTTTTCACAGAGGTTTGTAGACCTGAACACAGTCTCTGCATTTATTTGCTTACTACCTTGACCAAAGTTACATGGAGCTGCATGTGGTGTTCTGTTTGGCCAGCACCCATCAGAGCATATACTAGGCAGTCAGTAATAATTTGCTGGATGAATAAGTATTACAGTTGCCACAGCAATCACCATTAGCCTTCAGTCATAACTATAATAATCATTCATATAACCACTTTTGGCTCATGGGAGGTACTGAGTAATTGTTGAATTGGATTGAGATATCTAAATGTCAATGTCTCATGCATTCATTAATACAATTACGTTTTATTGCCTTTATGATTCTTTACACATTGAATCTTCTGCAGCTTCTAAAGCTGGAGTCTTTCTGTTCTTAGCAGCCCTCCTACAGTAAAGAAGATATTTTAGCAAAAATGTGCCTTTTGGGGGACTACCCTTTTCTAACTTTTAAAAAATGTCACAGAACATTAGCTAATTGGTTTACAGTTAGTAATACATTTTGATCAGTGTAAATACAAGTTCTGTATGATGCTCAGTGATTTTTATTTGTTTGTTTACCCGCGGTATCCCGAGAGAGAGATCAGTTACAATGGCCCCAGGTTGCAGAGGGAGGCCTTGAAATACTGAATGGAAGTTCTAGATTCTGTAATATTTGTGGCATAAACCCCGCCCCGCTCTGCGTGGTTCTCCAAGAACCTTGCTGTCCCTCCCCTCCCCCTCCCCAAGAGAATGAAAGCCTTGGAATGGCACCGAATCCTGCTAAAACTGCTGAATCTTAACCATTTAGAACCCCCCCTTTTTTTTGGTGGAGGGAAGGCTGTTTTTTGCGGTACCAGCCTGATAAAATCATAGCCTTATAAAGATTTCTGTCTGCACCTTGGCACCTGCAAATACGAAAAACAGCATAAAACACGATTTTGAACGTTGCAGCCTCACAAATGGAAAAAAAAAGCTCAAAAACGTAAAACAAAACGCAATGTTTAAGATGGAAAATCGGACTTATTTTGTTGTTTACAACACCTAAGCATTTTTGGAAACCCTAACGGGAGATAAGCGTTTCGGGAAAAACGGCCGCAGCGCAGCGTGGTCGGGGTTCGCCGCATTTTGGCCGCGCGCCTTTAACTCGGCGTGACCTCCGCGTCCCGGGCTGGCGTCCCGGGCTCCGCGCCTCGGCCGGGGCGGCGCATCGCCCCCTCCTCCCCTCCCGCGCATTGTTGTCCTTTAGCGATTGGTTGTTGGACCAGAAACAGCTGTGCAGAGGCGAGCGGTGTAAAGGGGCTGTGGATCTGAATGCAGGTTATCGGGCTGGTAGTGACTGACACCGGGTGCTCCGGGGAGAGGAAGGAAGAGCCGGAGCCGCCTCCACTGCGTTCTCCAGGCGGCGTGGACCAGGTGCCCGGGCGTTTGCGGCTGTCGGAGGGGCTCCGAGTGGCGCCCCCTCCCCCGGCTCTAGCTGACTTCGGGTTGGCGCAGGTGGGCGAGGCAGGGCACCGCCGAACGCCCTATTCCCACCGAGGGATTTCTCTCCCTTTCTTCGAGGGGGAGGCGCCATCCTGAAAATATGTAAATATCCAAGCGCGGACTCCAGGCTGGGGCACCAGCCAAGGTCCCAGCGCCGCCTCAGGGTGTTTTACATGAAAATGAGAAGCCTGACAGGATCCGTGCTCTAACTTAAGGCTGCTTGGTGATTAGCACGAGGCTGGGCGGCTTCCCGGCTTCCTGCCCTTCAGTAGCCATTCTGCGCGCTCGCGGCTGAGCGGCGGTGCCACCATGCGGGTGTCGGTCGGCAGGCTCCGCATCCTTGGCAGCCATGGCTTACGTCGCCGCCTCGGCCAGTAAGTAGGAGCATGCATGTGTAGGGGGGCACATGCGTGTCGGCGCGCGCGCGCGCACACACATACACACACACACACGCATGCACGCACACCACCCTGAGCCTCGGAAGGAGGAAGATCGACTAGGCGCCGCAGTCGTGAGGACGACTCGGGCTCTTCCTGGATTCGGCAGGAGCCTGCCTGCTGCAGCTGCTGACTGCAGAGCCTGCTCGGATCCCGTGCACACGCGCCCCCCATCCGAGCCTCTGTAATGAAGATTGCCTCCCAAGGACTGCAGGGGAGGCAGAGCCACTCTGCGCCCGGGACTGCGGGCCGCGCGGCTGATAGGCCCAGGGGGACACGACTTGGACACTGTCATCCCCACGCCTCGCTCTGAGCTGCACAGTGCGGAGAGGGTCTGTCGCCGCCCCTCCGGCTTCCCGGGCGCCCGATCCCGGGTCAGCCCCGGAGGCCTCGGCTTCCTCATTTGTTTGGGTCTTTTGTGCCGTGGCTCACAGTTGGCTAAACACTCCTGCGCTGAATCGGGCCATTGTCTGCGCTCCCATTGCTTTCACGCTGCAAGTCTCGGCGCCCCCACCCCACCCGCCCCCTCCCCGCCTCCTCCTGGCCGGCGAGCCTCCTAACGTGCCTTTCCCCCCAGGAATCTGGAAGCTATAAGCCGGGCGGATTGCAAATGAAGTGTAATGCATTGTGGGACGTGTGTAAAATCGGAGCCTTCGCCGTGGGGGGGTGTGGGGGCGTGGGGAGGGCCGGACCCGCCGCTGGCGGTGTAGACGCCGACGAGGAGGGGCTGGGAAAATGCGCGCAGAGTCCGCCCGGGTCGTGCCCGCCGTAGACGGATGAAGCCGCGCGCTGCGCCCCGGCGCTGAGGCCCCGAGGATCGGGGCAGCAGGTCGCCCTCCCCACCATGAAGAAGACCCGGAGCACAACCTTGCGGCGAGCCTGGCCTAGCTCGGATTTCTCCGACCGGGCCTCGGACCGCATGAGGTCCCGCAGCGAGAAGGACTACCGCCTGCACAAGCGCTTCCCCGCGGCCTTCGCGCCCCAGGCTTCGCGGGGCTACATGACATCAGGTTGGTAACCGCGTTTCTGTCTCTGGGCCCGGGGGCCGCGGGGCGTGCTCGGGGCGCCGCGGCCGGGGTGCTTCCCCGGGAGGCCGGGCGGTGATGGATGCGATAAGTTATGGGGAAAGCAGGAAAAAAATTAGCTCACATCCACCATTTTGTACCTCCGCAAGATCCACAGCAGGCCCTCTCAATATGGGGTTTGAGAGCTATTAGTTAGGTGAAATCAAGGAGGGGGACGTGCCGGGCGATTTGGCTGCAGAGATAAATGACTGCAAACCCGGGCGCCCAGCCTCCTTGAGCTTGGGGAAGCGCCTGCGTCTGCTGTCGCCTGCAGTGCCGGGCTTGCTCGCTCCCGCATTGTGGCCAGTTGTTATCCTAGTGGGTATTTAAACAGACCTTCTTTCTTCAAAGGGAACAGGTTCCATGCACAGTTCTGGATGGTTTGAGTCAGGGAAGAGGTCGGCGTACGTCTCAAGCTGGTCGGATTTGCACGCAGAGAACTGTGTGGATGCGGATTGAATGCTCCCAGGATTCTGTGTGGATTTAACATATATTGCTTTGAATTAGGTTGTGTGGAAAGAATGGAGGCTGTGTCTTGGATTTTTGCACGTTAGACAGGAAGGACAAACAAAATGGTAAATGGGGATGAAGACTTCAAAAAAGATTTCATCTTAAAACGCGTAGAAGCATTTCTGAAGGCGCCAGTTGGTTCCCTTCTGAAATACAACGGAATGGCTTTGCTCTGAATCGGGAACTCAGGGATAAAATACTTGAAATGCCGAAGGAGGAAAATTGTGAAACTCGTTGTTTTCTCCTTAACTTGCTGTTGACCACTTGTATGTAATGATGTGTAAGACACCAATTTTAATTGTTTTTCATTCTGAAAGAATTGATTTTCTTCTAAACACAATGTAATGGAAGAACCGAGATTATATTTGAAAACACATCCTCTACCAAATAATTCTAAGTCCTGTCTTAACTGGGAAGAGTGCTTTAAGCTTGCAGTTGGTACTTAAAGTCTAGCTGTGCAGTCTTTCTTCTAAAACAGTAAGTTTAAAAAGAAACTGAGGCCAGTATCTCATGCTTTAGAAATGTCTTGTGACCACATTTACGCGAATATAAAATCTAAATAAAATCACCATCTTTTTATTGCAAAACCTGGTGACATAGGGATGTAGTATTTTGGCGGTAAGGCTCCCTTGACTTTCTCTGTCACGAAAAGCCAAATTTGTAAAGGAAGTGACAACTCCAGTTTATATGTTAGCAATTTAAGTCAATCACTGCTATGGTGGCTATATTCTTCAGGCATATGACAGTAAATTTTGAAATACCTCTAAATCCAGACGTAACCTCAAAACACATACGCACGTAAGCCCTTGTCTGCACGGAATGTTCAGATAATCCCAGGTTTCCTAGGTTTAGGGTTTGAATGCCTGCCTTCTGCCCTCAAGAGTCCCCCCTCTGTTTTGCCCCTCTTCTGGAATCAGTACTGACACCAAATGTGAGGCTATGGGAGGGCAGGTGGCCATAATTTCTTCAACAAACCTGCAAGATTCTTGAATGATTTCAGGCACATTCCCCTGGAGCTTATTTTTTATCTGTTTTGGCATAGCTTCACCATGATCACATTTCATTCTTTGCTCAAGAACTTCTCTTTGGTTGCTGGGTTTTGCAAGGCATTTTTCTTTCTAAGGGCTTGAGGAAGAAGCTTTTAATTTTCTTGGATCCTCTTATTTCATTTCTTGACTTGCAGATGGTAAGCTGGTCCTCTGGTGAGTGGGAAGGATCAGCTGTTTCAGGTTGGTGGTTTTCTATGCCAATTTAATGTTAGGTTACTACTGAGAAAAGAAAACCAAAAAGTGGGAAAAGAAGAGCTATGTTATTCATTCAACATTGTATGAAATTGCCCCCCTCCCCGCCTTGCTTCATTCTCATGGGGCTGCAGGGTTGGATATAATTAGGTTTTGTCCAAGGATAGATGGCTGTTATTTATTCTTTATTTTAATTATTAGCTAATACGTGTAATAAAAGGGGTTGGGGCGAATGGAGGGAGACAGTAAATATTAAGACAGACCCCTACAATGAATGCTGGGAGAGTAGGTGGAACCTTTCTCATACACATCTTTTGGTGGGGAGGGTGGGAGTATCTTATCAATTTCCTTTTCAAATATGGTTCCTTTCCAAATATAAGGGTTGATCGGAATAGATGGCATATTGAGACGCTTTGAGATCATTTGCGGGAAGTGCTCTTCCCCTTAAGAAATGTCAAGGAAATCCGCTTGTATTAAGTTAGTGACTCTGGGTACAAACGGATCCTTTGTCACATAAAATGAAATAGAAAATGAAGTGGCTTAGAAAGACATGAGGCTTTTCATATTTCTCCTTCCTGTTTGTCCAGTCATTCGGCTTAATGACCACTAGTATTTATCATACTTCATTTTCAGGAGAAAGAGTTTTTTGTTGTTGTTGGGTTAAAAGGGCAAGATAAGCCTCTTCAGAGATGTACGACAGGACCTAAAATAACTTCAGTTGAGACTATTTTTAGAAATCTCCTCCCCCAAAGAGAAAAATCACTCAAAGAAAAAACTTTAGAAAAGGAGAGATCCTTGGAAAAAATTTAATAGTCGTCCTTCTGGTCTGGCCTACCTGTCACACAGTGGGTACTTCAAGTTCAACTCTGTTTATTTAAGGCAAAATTATAGGCATTCCATAATCTCTTTCGAATGAGACAGCACCTTTTCAAACAGTCTTTTCTCCACTAATAAGTAATTATCAGTTTGAAATGTGATTTACAGCAACAGGCTTGACAGTTAGCCTTGGCTTTTTCATGCCCCTTCAGGATAAACTACACTTAAGCTCAAGAGGTTAGAATGGGCACATATAAGGCTTAAAGAGATCTTGCAAGCAGAAAGTTAGAGAATTCTGAAACTTTAAGTCTTGAAGACTATGCCATATATGACTGTTGAAGCCCCCAATTCATGTTACCAAATTGAAAATCATCCCAAGAACTCACGGGCCTCTTGGCAGCCAGCAAGTTCACAGGCTACGAGGTGAGTTCACTATTCATCTTGAATATTAATTTCCCAAAAGGAGTTTCTGGACAGAAGGGGGAAAAATCTTGCCTTTTGTTCAAATCAAGATGAATAATAAAATGTGTATCTGTGATCGGAACAAGAAACAGGGTTAGCCCAAATGCATGTGCGATCACTCTTCCAGTTTCTGAAACTAGAAATTATGCTATTAATTAACTAGAGATAAAAGTAAAACTCCCCACAAAGAGGGAAATATCTGGATGATCCTTAGGGCTTTATACATGAAAACGTGCTCTCCCACTTCCATGAAATGATTTTCAGGGCACCGAACCTTTTGTTGATGAAGGCGTTAGAACCTTCTCTGTTAGGACCGTGTGAATTGTGACCTCTTTATACAAATGATGCTGCTAACTTTTAACTTCTTTCACTCTCCTCTCCCCCAGCCCCAGGGATGGCTGCGTCTTTATATTGCACATGCCTTGCCACCAAGTTTGATCAAGATTGGAAAGTGATTTTCCCACTATAAAGATTCTACAGAGCGTGTTCATAAAAGATGTCCCTTGTGAGTGAGACACCCCTAAAAGCATGGTTCTTTGAGATGGATGCTTGTCATTTTACAGCAATAAAGTAGACAGTTTTAATACTGTGGCTTTAAAGGATTTGAAAAGAAAAGAGAAAAAACACATGCCCCAAACTGACATTTTAAGAAAATATAAACCAGTTTGTCTGCCGATCTAACTAATATACTCAGCGAGGAGGAATGGTCAGGACGCCACCTGGATGAGTTTATTAGTTTTCATTTTATAGAAACGAGTTCTGGGGCACAGTTGATTGCGTGTCCCAGTTCCTTATGTTCTGTTATTTTAAGAGATGTGAGAGTTTGCTGGGAGTGGAGGATGGACAACCGAGGTTCTAATCTGGGCCTGCCACAAACCAGCTGCGTCCCTGGCGAGTAACAGGGCCTCGCCCCGTCTGTAACGGGTCCTCCTGGCCCACGTTTCCATGACAGAATTGGGCTCCATAACGAGCAAGCTCGGGATTTCTAAGCACTTACCCCGAAATCGTTAGAAATAACCTTTGCCCTTTCTATTTATTGGAGTCATATGCTTCCGGCTGGGGGCTGTGTGGGAACAGTGCTTGTTTTGCAGTCAAGTCCTATTTCCTGTCATCCCCAGATGTTACATTAAGTGTCTGCATCAGGGCTGGTCCTGGTGACCAAACTAACAGGGGGGCAGGGGGACGAGGGACACAGCCCTGGCAGATCACGATCATGTGCAAGTTTTCATAAACAGCATCCTGTCGCCTCCTTTTCCCTCTTTGTAGAGATCCATTTTCAGCCTCGCTGCTCTAACTGTGTTTTAATTTGAAACTACCTGCGTTGACTCCTTTCATCAGGCCCGTGGAAGTGAGGAATATTACACTTGGTGGTGAATGACTTTATTCTTTATTTTCCGGGAGAAGGCGAATGTGCTTGCAAAAGGTCACCTCTCTTGGTATTTCAGTATCTTTTACACTCTTGTGAATGTTTTTATTTGAAAAAAGGAAGCTGAGTATATTGTATAAAAACCTTAGCACTTTTTTTGCACCTCCGGAGCAACCATGGCTTAAATTCTCTATACCCCAGAGAGTTAGGGCAGTTCAGACAGTGCTATGTTCTTTGATACAAGATTGCTTATGCTGAGTGCAGATATAACCAAGGAACAAAATCCCATTGGATCCTTGCCAGTGGGATCAGATGCTGACTTTGGCAATTAGGACAGGCTTTTGTAGATCAGTCATGGAAACTGTGTGCTGCCTAATGTCTCAGGTTTGAAGTGGAGGTTCTTGTAGTTTGTAAGAATATAGACTATAGTCAGCACAAACTTAACTTTCGCCACAGTAACACAGGAAAGAAATGACATGGGTGTTTTTTAAAGTAGGTAGTAAACTTTTCCTTACGTAGTTAATCCCTGGACTGTTTTTATGTGACATCGG